AGGGGGAGTGGGAGAGGGAGAAGCAGGCTTCCCACTGAGCAGGGAGCCTGATGCGGGGCCCAGTCCCAGGACCCTGGGATCGTGACCCAAGCCGAAGGCAGACATTTAACAACTGAGCCATCCAGGCGTGCCAATAAAAAATACTTTTCTTAGATTGTCATTTAATTTTATTTGTATTTTGGTTAGAGAGATTGTTGCTTTTCTGTGATCAGAACTTTTATCCAGTTTTCTCCTTTGTGGTTTGTGTTTTTTGCATATTGCTTAGAAAAGCCAATCCTAACCCTAAAGTCAATCATTTCTTAATATTTTATTTTGTGGTTTCATTTTTTAAAAAAACATTTTATTTATCTGACAGAGACACAGTGAGAGAGGGAACACAAGCAGGGGGAGTGGGAGAGAGAGAAGCAGGCTGCCCGCCGAGCAGGGAGCCCAACGCGGGGCTCAATCCCAGGACCCTGGGATCATGACCTGAGCCGAAGGCAGACACCCAAGGACTGAGCCACCCAGGCGCCCCTGTGGTTTCATTTTTTATATTTAACCCTTTAACCAGTTTAGATTTATTTTGGTATATGGTGTGAGGTAGGAATCTCACTACGTGTTTTTTCCAGGTAGTTAAGCAACAGTTCCAACATAATTTATAAATAATTAATTTTTTATGACTAGAAATGCCAATTTTATCACATTAAATTCTTTTATTTATTTCTCTCAGGGGATTAGGAATCTCTAAAATCAGAAGCCAGAGTTAAACTTCCTTTTAATATGTGAAGTAGTTGTTGAGGTTTTCCTAGCCACACTCCTTTGATGTTTTTATCTGTTACTCCCGGGATGTTAATTAATCTCTTCATGACACCTCTCTCCTCTATTCCAGATATGTATGCCTACTTTCTGTTTGGATATTTGAAAACTAAATGTATCTTCTTTCTCCCCAAACCAGTGTTCCCATTCTCTCTAAAGGTTGCTGTCATCACTCAACCCCAAACCAGCAAATTATCTTGATTTCTCCCTCTCCCTCACACCTCTCCCCCAATATTTATCCAATCCTGTGGATTCTGTCTCTTAGTTTGGTCCAGTCTCCTTATTGGACTGCAGAAACAGCCTCCCAGGGGGTCTTCCAGCCTTCACCTTGCCTCCCCACCTTCCACCGTTCATATAGTTTCCCTCTTTGCTACGGGCAGAAGGATTTTTTTTTTTTTTTTTTAAACAGCAGATACACTCATGTCACTTCCCCCCCCCCAAACCTTTTCGTATTCTTTTTGTGGTTTTCTACTCACTTTAAGGTAAATTCCTTAAAATAGTTCTCAGGGTTGTATTTGATCTGGCTTTTGCTTGCCTCGCTTCATGTCCTATTTTTTGGTGCTTAATACTTTGTCTTACTGGATCTAATTTTTCCAAAATACTAAGCTTGTTTCCTTTTGTATGTTCTGTTTCATATCTGGTATATTCTTTTCTGTCTTCACCTGTTTCATTCCTATTTACCTCTTTTTCAGGGAGGCTTTCTTCCTCAGACTACATTAGGTTCCCTCTGCTCTACATTCCCGTATCCCATATTTCCTCTTTTGTAATTCCCATAATTGTAACTACACTTTAATGTCTTTGTTCAGCTGTAATGTAAGTTCTAGGCAGGTGGGGGCATGTCTGACTTTTTGTGCACTGTCTAACTTTGACTATACTGAAACCCCACTCTACTTCATGGTTTTCTGTAGGATTGTGTGGTGGATTCTTTGTATGCTTATAGGTGGGGGAGTGGCACAGGAAGAGGGAGAGAGAAAATTCTTAAGCAGCCTCCATGTGGGCGGGGCTCGATGCGGGGCTCTATCTCATGACTTGAGTTGAAATCAAGTCAGATGCTTAATCCACTGAGTCACCCAGGAGCCTCCCAGATAGGATACTCCTAAACCTTTAAAACTCAACACAGAGCCGCAGAATTTGACGAGAAGCCCATAGTACCAGCCTTACTGCGTACTTCAGCAGACTCATGCCATTCTTATATGCCTTCTGAGCTCTTGCTATGGTAAAATCATCTTTCCGTCTTCCTTTTTCCTTGAAATAATGCTGCTGATTCTACTTCTCACTTCAGGGTTATGTGGAGAGACATTTTTGGATGAACAGTTGTGATTTAACATTCCAGACACCAGAAACTCTGTACTGTTTTTTGTTTTGTTGTGTTTTATTTATTTATTTTTTAAGTAGGTTCCACACCCAGCGTGGAGCCCAATGCAGGGCTTGAACTCATGAGATCAAGAGTCGGACATTTAACCAACTGAGCCACCCAGGCGCCCCTTTTCTTTCTTTTTTAAACTGCAGCCTACACTCTTTTTTTTTTTTTTAAGGTTTTATTTATTTATTTGACAGAGAGAAACATAGCTAGAGAGGGAACACAAGCAGGGGGAGTGGGAGAGGGAGAAGCAGGCTCCCCACGGAGCAGGGAGCCTGATGTGGGGCTTGATCCCAGGACCCTGGGATCATGACCTGAGCTGAGGGCAGACGCTTAATGACTGAGCCACCCAGGTGCCCCTGCAGCCTACACTCTTAATGTTGAGCTCTGTCTGAAGAAAAACTGTTTAGTTGGTCTGACACCTAGGAGAAAGGACAATCAGTGTATCTCTAAGTTGTACAAATAGAGTTCCCTAACTACTGTCCAGCTCCTTGGCATATAGTGGAGATGGGTGGATCAAACTTAATGCATTAGCCTTGCTATGAGGCCATTTCCCTATGCAACTTTTTAAAAAAAGATTTTGTTTATTTGAGAGAGAGGGAGTATGTGCATGCAAATAGGGGAGGAGCAGAGGAAGAGGGAGAGGGAGAAGCAGACTCCCCACTGAGCATGGAGCCTGATGCAGTGCTTGATCCCAGGACCCCAGGATCATGACCTGAGCCAAAACCAAGAGTTGGATGCTTAACCAGCTGAGCCACCCAGGCGTCCCTCCCTATGCAACTTTTGATTATGTTAATTGACCTTTCATATAGATTGTTGTATAAAAACATGAATACTTCTATCTACTTCATAGGTATCTTTATCATTATAAATAACATTCGGGTTTATCCATCCAGCGCTTGAGTGTTTGCTAGTATATCAGTCTGGCTATCACTTTTTACACAGCTGACAAATGGGATTTGTGAAGCTAGAAGGCTGGAAGCCAACCATGATTTTTGCTGATGAAGTCACATTGCTATCCGAACAGATTTTGTTTGAATTATTAGATAGTATCCCTAGGCAACAGTTCTTTCTCATTTTCCTATTTACTGGGACAGTGATATCCCCTTCCCCACCTTTTTTCCCCCTATGAGCAGGGTTCCCAGTTTTCCAACTCTGAAGTGTTTTCCAATCAAAACAAAAGATTTGTGGATGTTGAATATGCAAGGAGCTGAAGAGAGAGAGCTTGGAAGAGAGGTTTGTCCAGGTGCGTGAGCGAGGGAAAACCAATGGGAGAAACAGCGGGGCTTTGGAAATTTTACAAGAGAAAATGATTGAAGTTCAGGAAATAAAATTACCCTTTTAGGGATGTTGGGGGCAGATGAGGGTGAACATCTCCTGGGGCCAACTTTTCCCCAGTATTCATTTTGTCTCATTTCCAGCATTTACTTTTACATTCTCCCACTGTCCATGTTTCTTCTTTTGACCTAATCTTAGCTTGCTATTGTTTGTTACTTTCCCTTTATTTCTATTGTCTCTGCTTCTCTGGCTTCCTAAGTGTCTGTAGATGCCCATTCCATGGGGTTCCTTATTAATGGTGAACCTTACCCTGATACAGATCTCTTCCACCACTTATAATTGAATTACTTGCTCCACTAGGTTTTATTGGCCCTTGTTTATATGCCATTATTGAGATATGTCAGAATTAGGCCCCTATAGGCTCGGGGACTTCCCCTCTGTGCTGCACAAGAGATACTCATTCTGATGTTTTCTTTCAGATTTGATGGACAGGTCTGTTCCAGAGCAGGATGTCTCTGAAATTAATTCACCAGGGATAGTAGCAAAGAGATTACCAGAGGATGCGAACCAGGATTCTATATTTGAAAAAAAATATGCATGTGAGAGCATGAAGGAAAACCCTTCTGGAGAGGTTCCTGGACCATGCCTTTTTCAAGAACGAGGTTTGGGGGAAATAACTTTTATCCACAAGGAAGCATCTCCTGAAACAGTTAGCCAAGAATATAATTTTGAGCAAAGCTTGCTGTTGACCTCCAGCTTTGTTACACATCTCAGGGTTTCTACAGAAGAGAGGCGACATCAGTGGGAGACAAGTAGCATACACACTAATGAGATTTCAGACCAAAGTAAATGCCCAACTCTCTCTACACAGAAAAAGTCTTGGGAATGTAATGAATGTGGAAAAACTTTTACTCAAAGCTCATCCCTTACCCAACATCAGAGGACTCATACTGGAGAGAGACCTTATGCATGTGAGGAATGTGGGAAAGCCTTTAGTCGAAGTTCCTTCCTTATTCAGCATCAGAGAATTCACACCGGAGTAAAACCATATGGATGTGAGCAGTGTGGGAAAACATTTCGATGTCGATCATTTCTTACTCAGCATCAGAGAATCCATACTGGAGAGAAACCTTATAAATGTAATGAATGTGGAAATTCCTTCCGCAATCATTCACATCTCACTGAACATCAGAGAATTCACACTGGAGAGAAGCCTTACAAATGTAATAGATGTGGGAAGGCATTCAATCAGAGCACACACCTCATTCATCATCAGAGGATTCACACTGGTGAGAAACCTTATTTATGCAATGAATGTGGCTCTTCTTTTCGCAAACACTCAAATCTCATACAACATCAGAGAATTCACACTGGGGAAAAACCCCATAAATGTGATGAATGTGGGAAAACTTTCCAAACAAAGGCAAACCTCTCTCAGCATCAGAGAATTCATACTGGAGAGAAACCATATAAATGTAAGGAATGTGGCAAGGCCTTTTGTCAGAGCCCATCCCTTATTAAACACCAGAGAATTCATACTGGAGAAAAACCTTATAAATGTAAGGAATGTGGCAAAGCTTTTACTCAGAGTACCCCACTTACTAAGCACCAGAGAATTCATACAGGGGAGAGACCCTACAAATGCAGTGAATGTGGTAAAGCCTTCATTCAGAGCATTTGCCTCATTCGGCATCAGAGAAGTCACACTGGAGAAAAACCCTATAAATGCAATGAATGTGGGAAGGGCTTTAATCAGAATACCTGCCTCACTCAGCATATGAGAATTCATACTGGAGAGAAGCCCTATAAATGTAAAGAATGTGGGAAAGCCTTTGCTCATAGCTCATCTCTTACTGAACATCACAGAACTCACACTGGTGAGAAGCTCTATAAATGTAGTGAATGTGAGAAAACTTTCCGCAAGTATGCACACCTTAGTGAACATTACAGAATTCACACTGGTGAGAAGCCTTATGAATGCTTTGAATGTGGAAAATTCTTCAGACATAGTTCAGTCCTTTTCAGACATCAGAAACTTCACAATGGTGAATAACCCTGGCATTCAGGTTATGGCAACTTCTCTAGAAAGAGTGACTAGGAATCTGGCGGGAGGCGGTGGGGCAGGTAGAGTTCCTGGAGGGAAGGATGAAGGAACCCCGAGTATTATACTCAGAAGAGTATTTCCACTTATGGAGGCGGGAGTTGGAGAATGCAGAGCCTACTCCAGCTGGGCGTCTGGGAAGACAGGGTAGAAAGGAAGTTCTTGCTCTTCGGATAAATCCTCGCTGCCTGCCACTCCTCCTTCCCCTTGTGACTCTTATGCCTTGAGGTGCCATTTGTTAAGTTAGCACTTACATTTCCCTTACTGCAGTCCTGCTCCAGCGTCCCACCTTGTGACCTGTGTTCTCTGGCCAGTAGGCTGAGGTGCTTTCCCAGACATTCAGTGTGAAAGTGGTAGCAGTGCTGAGGTGGTGCTAAGTAGCCTCCTGATACCTGAGGCTGCTTTGAACATGCCATCTGTTAGAAGTGGTCTCGTGAAGGGGAGATGGAAACAAGGGAAAACAAAGAATCCTTATTCATCATTCAGTAAATAAAGGGATAGGTGGCAAGAACTGGGCTGATGTCTACAGATAGAAGAAGGCTTTCTCAGGGTAAGGGAGATCTTTCCTGATCCTTTCAAGCTGGAAGGCAATTTGGGGCCAAAAAGGAAGTAGGAGGTCAAGAGAAATTTATCTTGAATGATGCCAGTTTGTGGGAATGGAGTCAGATCTGCTCAGAGGGCCAGGAAGAAGAAGGGCCAACCTTTGTCCCAGAGGAACACTGACTCACCCAGGAGGAAAATGGTTTGCGCTAGACTGCTGGTGCTGAGGCCCAGAGCAGGAAGCCTGTGTTTGACTGAGCAGGTCACCTACATATCCCAGCCTGGACTAAGGTGTACGCTTAGTCCAGTTTGCTTGGGCCACTGGTTTGTAGGGTCCAGGGGAGAGAGACCCACCAGGATTAACTATGTCCAAACAATGGTTAATTGACGTTTAGGGAGGAGAAACCATTAATGAAGAGAGCAGACAGCCTTTTAGGTTGGCTGGAGTTGGGGCTCTGGACCAGTCCTCAAGAGAGTGTTGGTCATTGTATCAGGGAGGCTTAGGTTTCATGTAATTATGTCATTGGTGGCTTTAAGCAGGTGTGTTAGATTTCAGATACTTCTATTTTTATTGGGACTATCTTATTCTCAGATATTTACCCTTCCCTGCAGGTTAGGAGTAGCTAGGGACACAATTTCATGGAATAAATTTGGAAAGTGTTCTAGAGAGAACTACCTCTTTTTGAAGTCCCTGAGTATTGAGATAGTACAGTTTGCTACCATGATGGTATTTTATTCTTTTAAGAGAAAGGGCATGGTTTTTCCTTTATTTCTTTACTCCCTTTCATGTTTTTTACTGCTACTCAGAGCTTGAACTCTGAAAGATGAGGTGAGGATTGCCTTTGACTGCTATTTGTAATAGTTTCTATGCCCTGAAGCTTATATAATTTTTAAATTATGACTGTTAAAAAACAAAGTCTGTTGATTCTGGAATGGTTGGTTACCTAGAACTCAGCATTAATTTTTTTTCCCAGAACAGCTATCTTGTAAGCATTGGTTTGAACTGTTAATTACCATTAATAGGAATGTGGCAGAAACATCACTGTCTTCCTCTGCAGCTGTGAAGATTATATTCTCAAAACCTGCCACAGGGCAATTCATAATTGAGTAAGTTAATATCTTATGGACAAAAATAACCCTTAAAACTTGATGTTCATGAAAAAATTATAGTACTCAAAGGAAATACTGATGTATTTGTACTTTCTAAGTGAAAATAACACTATAGAATTCATTGCTGGCACACAGTAAATGTCCAATAAATATTTGTTGAATTAGTATATTTTAATCAACCTGTGCCCACCAGAAACTTTCACAACTTCCTGATATGTAGGTATTTAGAGTAATATTTATACACTACTGTCTTTAGATTTCTTGAGTTGAGATTAGAATTGGGAGGGTTTTCTAAAGGAGCAAATGGGAACTCTAAGGATGAAAGATATTTCCAAGTTCTTGTTAGATTTTCCAAAAATCCAAAAATGTTTTAATCCTTAGGCTAAGAGTCTGATACCTTTTTCACTTCCTGGGAAAACAGGACTAGGCAAGGAATTTGTCATCCTGCTACTGTCCTCATCCCATAGTCTCATACTTGCAAATATTTGCTCCCAGTTGTTGGCCAGCCAAGTGCCCAGTCAGGCCAGCCCCAAATCTTGGAATTGCTTTCAGTCAGTCTTTTACTCAGTCTTCATATCCTAGCCACCACTGTATCCTGCTTACATCTCTGAAATATGGAAGCCATCTCCACTGCTTTTGCTTTAGTCCACTCCCCAGTTTATTTCCTAGACCATTTTCCTATTTTCCCAATCAGTCTTCCAGTTGCTTGCCCCATGAGGCCGTCTTTCACATTTCTTCTGGATAGTCTTTGCAAGACACAACTGGCAGCTCTATTATCTCAGACTATCCGAACCCCTTAGAAGGCATCTAAAGCTCCTCCACAAAAATTAGATAGATAGATAGATAGAGCTCCTCCACTGGCCCATGCCTCCATCATCACTCTCCGCTGCCTTCCCTGCATTGCACACTGTTCCGTAGTGTAAATTCCTGTGGTTCCATATCATTGCTGGACTCTGGCACCTTTTGCATAGACTGTTCCTATTGCCTCAATTGCCTGCCTGCCTTCTGCTTGCCTGGAAAGCTCCCATGTGTCACTTAATGAATGTGCTCAGGCCACATCTTTGAAGCTGTCTCTGACCTCACATGTTTTTTATTTCTGTATTTTCTTATCTTCTTATTTATGTTACATTGTAACAGCTAGTTTCCAAATCTTTCTCTTCCCACTGAACTATCAGCTCTGTCAAAGCAGGGACCATGTGATATTTATTCATCTTTATATCCACAGTCCCTGGCACTTCGAATGTGCTCAGTAAATATTTACTGAGCTCAACTAAAATACTGAGTCAGACATTTCTCCACGCCTACATGCAGGTTGTGACTTAGGTCCACAGTTGCCAGCAGAAAGGAGGTATGGAGAGGATATGAGTGTGTCCATGAAGTGTTCGCCAGGTGCCAGGTGCAAGCATTCTGAACGTTTCCTCAAGACACAGATTGTGTGGTTGTATTAAGCAGAGGGCCCCTTAAGGAAAAGTAATATTTTGTAGCAAAATAACCCCTTGTTTTGTTACAAATTAGCCATTTAAAATGTCCCATCACAGTTTAACAAAGTACTTTCAGATATGTTGATGGCAGGGTCGACAGGAAGAGGCAAATGCTTGCTGCTGTAGCAGCACAACTATGTCAGCTGGAATATCCCTGAAGTAAGAAGCAGGAGCTGGATCCTGATGCTGGTCTGGCAGGAGAGAGATTGAGTTTAGCAATCCCAATGTGGAAGCACTTCCTGAGCTCATGGCTTTCCTTGGCCCCAGATAATAAAGAACTGGAATGTGTTGCTTATTCTCAGCGTGCTGAAATTTAATTTGTGATTTCACAAGGACATGGGATGAGGCCACATCAGATCCTCAAAACAACAGTAGAGAAAGCAGGTGGTTGGACTTGCCCAAGGTCACACAACTAGTAAGTGTCATGTGAAATTTAAACTCCTGTGTCCTTTCCCGCTTTTCCTTCAGATTTCTCGTTATTGGTCGTATCTCTGTTCCATGATGCCTCTTTAAACTGTGTTTGTTATAGAGTTGACCACATAGGACTCCAGTCTTGCCCTGCTTGTGAGGATGGGAGGAGCTCATTTTAAGACTTTATTTTTAAGTAATCTCTACACTCGAACTCACAACCCCAAAATCCAGTCACATGCTCTACCAACTGAGCCAGTCAGGTGCCCCTGGGAGCTAAGTTTAGGCCAAAAAGCTTTTTTGCCCTCAGACCTTCCTGTGTGTGAGTTTGAGAAATAAATTGGTTTTTGCATTTTGATTTCACCTTCCTTCCTATATAATGCAGAAGTCTAGCTCTGACCCCAGGTGACTTCAGTTTCACTCCCCTTCAGCTACTGGCCACTGCAGGGCTAAGGTCACCTTAGTTTTGTGGAATGTTTTTGGTGTCCAGTGTCACCCTCATCCCCCATCCTTTTTCTACCTCATTGAAAGAAGCTCAGCCCAAATTGTGTTAAGCCCCAGATTCATGTTTCTAGTAAATTGCTCTTCCTAGGGTTCCCCACTCTAGAGTTAGTTCCTACACAGCAGAGCCTGCTGATTTAGATTTTTGGAGCTTAAAAGGGAAAAAACGATTAGGCCTAGGCTCTCTGGCCTGTGGGATGTTAGGGAGTGGGGGTGGGGTAGAACTTGCTATCTGATTCCAAACAAGTGCTGAGAATATGACACTTGGTAAAAAGCAAGGTGAGCTCAACATTATTGTTCCCTGGCGTGTCAGCTGACAGTTCTACAAAGGGTCCTCTTTTAGCTGAACAGGATTAGTGATGGCCTTAGTCTGGGGCATCTCCACTCCTAATTTCAGCCTCCTCAAGGGACTTCATTTTGGTAAGTTGCCAGTCTGGAAGTTTGAGCAGATAACTTCTCTGCTGCATCTCATTCATTTTTTCAAGTATTTCCTGAGGGTCCCTTATGGATTGTACACTAGGGATATGGTAAGCAGACAACTCTTATTTCCCAGAGCTTGCACATCAGCAAGAATGCCTGGAAGTGGATCAGGTACCCTGCTACCCACGCCTTCATCCCGGGAATACACTGTCAAAGAGGAGCCTGTATGTGCAAGTATTCTCTGAGTGAGTCTCAGCAAGATCTGAAGTTTTGCTGCAGTGGAGATGAGGGCCTTGAGGGCTGGCAAGGTCCCTTGAAGCCAATGCAGAACAAAGAGGACTGGAGCTGGAATTTGCGGAGCATGATAGGACAAACATTTACTGAACTTTTTTTAAGTGCTGGAGGTCTTAGTAATTACATATATTAATCTCATTTAATCTTCATGATAACCTTCTGAAATTCGGTGCCATTATTTCTGTTCTGTAAGTCAGCAAACAGGTACAGAGAAGTAAGTAACTTGCCCAAGTTTACACGCTGATAATCTGGGACTTAAGTTGAAAACAGAGCTCTTTACGTTCTTAGGGCCAGTTGTTGAACAAAGAACCTAAAGCAGAGGGTGTTTGGGGTTCCTGTGAAGAGGCCAATTTTCTGGCAGGTGAGACTGTAAGGAAGGTTGAAGCCAGCTTTGTGAAACCCTTGGGAAGACCTCCAAAAGGCAGTGACGTGGAAGAGTTTTTAGGAAGATAAATGTGGCCAGGTTGCAGAATGAATAGTAAGAGCGCCTTGTGGTCGGCCACCAGTCTCCCTCCAGTTCGGTTTCCTTACTCTGGGAAGGAGCGCGGTGAGATGGGTTCGCGGGCTGTTTCTGCAGGGGCGGCCCCGGTGTCGGGCTGGACCCCCGAGCTCTGGGCCGGGGAGGAAGCACAGAGATGAAGCCGCTCACTCCTTCCTAGAGAGGAGACCCCAGTGTTCTGACCGTGGCGCGGGCTGCTGAC